CCAGGTATCTGCAGTAAACAACTTCACAGGAGATGCATTGTTTCGAATACCTCTAGCAAACTATATCGATGGTGTTGACCTTTTTGAACTGTTCAAGTTTCATAAAGAGTATCCCAGGCTAACCCATGAGCCGTCATCTAGGACTATCAGGCTACAAGTGCACTCGGCCTCATCAGGTGAAGATGCACTCCTGCGTGATGCATAGAAGAGTCAGCTCGGTCGTACAGTTCCGAAGAGACGTCAACAGCATATCTTCAGTGCGCTGCACAAACCATCTCAGCTGCATGGACCACTATCATGCCCATCGGGCAACGTTCCTCACATCTTGGGATGGATAAAAATGTTAGACATTGGGTACAGTCGCGTGCAGCCCATCAGGACATAAAAGCACATGGCGCAGAGAAGGTCCGTCAGGATCTTTCCTAGCACCAGATGCTCACTGTGAACACGTAAATACCGATGTTGCAGGATTCCAGTTAGAATCCAATGGATATTATTTCCCATAACGTCGCTAGTACTTCGTAGAAGGGCAGACGGCAAACTCTGAGTGTCTGCCCCACGCGAAACGGGTTGTGGTTGCCAAATTGAGTGTGTGTTATTTCACGCTTTAGGTGCACTCATAGGTTGCACTCAGACGGCCTGTCATCCACAAGCAACTGGTACGAAGAAACGTTTGAATGGACGGATGAAAGCTGCCAGTTTGGCTGCAGGTAAGACCTACTTGACTGGGGCACTACCTCCAGTCTTGCCGGGTGCCTGGAACACCTTCAAGGCTTACATGGGATGCACTTCCACGGGAATCGTGTGCGATGCCACTCTTCGGTCACCGCACCCAAACTCCACAAGTGTTGCTGACAGGACATCCGACGTCACTGGACTTACAGATGCAGTGCGTTCTGCTAGACCTTCTCCTGGTCGACCCTAAACAACGGGTGCTTTCACTTGCTCCAAATTACAAAGGGCACAAAGCGTTTTCGTTTATGCCGCGATGCCGTTCTTCAAACGCTAAAGCCAACAGACAAGGTCATTAGGTGGCATAGAAAGTTTATACGACAGGGTGGAACGAAAGCAAAGATCCCACAACTGCCAATCATTTGAAAGCAGCTCACTCCTGAGGTCAGCCCAACATATGTAGCTTTTCTCTTCACGTAAGACTTCCTACAGAAGGTTCGAGTCACAAAAATCTTGACGATATGACTGTCGATTTAGAGATACACCAACCATCCACGTAGAGGAACACAAGATCAGGTTTAAACGTTGGGTTCATGGAACATCTAAAAGCGCTGTATCTAATGAGAGTGAATAGATAGTTATTTTTTCACATGCATTTCTGTTGTGGTGCCGTTTTTACTCGGGGTGCCGAAATGTTTCCGCTTTCTGTCGTAATGGTGTCAGTTGATTTTGCAACGATGTTATCATATGCCTTTTGAAAAATTGAAGAAAAACCCAATATCCAATTTTTATACTGATGTGTTTCGCATGTGGCAAACGCATGTTTTCCGCATTCATCTTCGTGAAACATTTTTGCTGCATTAAAGACTTTTTCAATTCTAGATGCAACAGTCAGTGGACAGGCTGTCGAAACGCCACAAGGGCTGCAAGTCACCCGCCATTCATTTAGTATTTTAACTTTCTCAAGGACACCCCATGGCAAATCCCGAAAGCCAGGGGCCACTGTTTGCAGAGGGCCCGTCGGGAGAACCTCGACAATGGTGAAACTACCGGGCATTTTCTTCAGGCTAGCATCGTCTCAGAGCGCTCATGAGCGCAGAGGGAAATTTACCGGTACCGGTGGCATATAATTCCCTCTAAATCAATAGCACATGCTTTGAAGAGGTTGAACGTTGATGTCGACCTTCATAGCCCTTAACCAGGCTGGAGACACACTCGAGTACGCACGCCATTTGGTAAGCCGCTTTACTGCACTTCATTGCTCACATGCGATCCACCAGCCATCAGTCTTGACGCGATCTATCAGATATGTCATTCCTACCTGGCCACTCTATTGTGTTCTTTCTTGGCCCCATACACGCGGGTATTCAACAAGTAGGGAGGATTGGTGATTGACCTCCGCATCTATCAAGCTCGTGCCAAAACGCTTCCGGAATCGCCTCTGATCGCACGCCCGATGAGTACGGAGAGAATGAGCGGACACGAATGACCACGGCAAAACTGTGTTCGCCCCCCAAATGAAGAATAAACCAGACAAATTTCTGCGGATGTTCTAGTATCCAAGCTGCACTGGCACGCTGTGCAAGCGAAATCAGGGGAACTCATAAATGTGTGACTGAATTTTTGATATAATCGTAAGTTAGCTTGGTGTTTCTGCTAATATGTTTCCTTGAGTGTGTCTGTAGACATCATTTTCAACCCTAATTCCGGCGTCTGTTGATGCGTAGGCCTGTTTTTATCCCGTCAGATTATCATCCATCTTAGCACCGGTTATACTTTTGGCTCTGATGAGCACAAAGGACTCATTCGCATGAAAAGATCTACCAGTAAGTATCCGCATAGTCATGGGACCGAGTTTAATGTTTGATCTCAGGTATTTCCAGCCTTCCGACCTTTGTATCTCACAGAGATACGCTGTATTAAAAGTATCTGTCGTAGCGCATCAACACAGATTGGAAGATTCATTCTTCTAGGGGCGATGGATCACACATAGACTCTCGGCATGCTCTATACCAGAGTGGGAACCATTATTCATGAAGTATACTCACAGTAAACAACCTTTCGTTTGGCTGAGTCATATGATTCAAATTACCAGAAAGACCATGGTTTAGCAGCGTTAACTTCATAAGTTTCTCACAGAGTCCTTGTGTAAATTTGTCTTTTTGGTTTTAACATTCGTTTAGATAGCCTCCACAGAGGCTTCGGCATCATTTGTTGCCGAAACCTCACCACGCAAAAGGTCACTACCTCCACTTCTTTCTCCTCAGCTGCTATTCTGGGTTTTAGCTCTGCTTCTCATTTTTTGATTCGATCGGCAAGAGCCAGATCCTTGAGGCCTTGTAGTATTCTTCAGGATCTGATTCCTCCCACCTGCTGACTTGAACACCACTTTAGGTAGACGAAACTTATTTTCAGTAGTGACCGTTCCCTGTTTTTCTTCTCTATATATCTTCAGTAGGGTGGCTGCTGGTGTGCTTTCTGGTAAAAGCTGGTTTATCAAACTTTGTACCTTGCCAAGGTCATTTTCGAGACGTTTGCTTGTTTCTGGGCCTTTACTTCCTTCCACTGTGCGGAAACTTACGGAACTGTCAGGGATCTCTACTTTGCTTTTGCCATGTGGGGTGACGATAGCTGGCTCGGTTACCGTTATTGGCTTCTTGGCGTGCAGTTTGGGCTTAATAGTTTGCCATTTTTCAGAGTCGGGTATGCAAGGTTCACCAAAGTCTAGTCCGGCGACCTTGACGCTGAGAGCCCCAGAACAGATTTGCATCCCATTCTGTGTGATTTTCGTCAATAATTGGGTCGCCGAACTGGATATGACCTTCGGCCTGCGTGGTTCCTTCGTTGGAACTGGGAGCGCCTCGCTCTCATCCGAAGAAGACTTAATCCTACTGTCAGCAGTTTTAAGACTGGATCTGCCAGCCCTGGGAATGCGAGATCCAGAAGATAATTGCTTCACCCTGTATGGTGTGGTTTCTTCCAAGTCTCTGTCAGCAAATCTAGAAAGTGGTTGCTGTGCCTTTTTTATGCTGAGGATGTGAGGCTTGTGTAATTATCTTGGAACCAACTCTTACATTCGCTACGCTGCATACCACAGGCCACTGTGAAGCGGCGTCCGGCCCTACCACAAGCGTTTTTACAACACTTTTGGCCCACCATGTAACAGAAGCTGCAGGAGTTCACCCAGCTAAATTTCCTGTCCCACTTTATTTAAGTAATATTGCAATTAGAGCAAAAATACAAAAGCCCTCGATGAGCAAACGCATAAAATGACGTGAATCTAGCTGAATGTGAAGAGTCACTCCCCTGGATATGAGGACCGAGGAATCGTAGTTTGCAGTAAGCTGAAGATACTAGTTTAATGTAGAATGGCAGATACCAGGGAATTGGAATCCTGCGGGCAGTACAAGAATCCTTTCAAATCTTTGAAGAGAACATATTTTAGGTCACCCCCAACATAAGGAAGCGGTGTGAAGAATGGGACTCAGTTGGTGATTCCATACTTCAGGTGTGAAGCTGAGACATCAGAAGCGTTGCAGGTGAAGGGACTCCAAGGCTTAATAAGTCCCGAAACTCTCATATGAAGAAAGATTTAGTCGGTTTGGTTTCCTTTCACTGTCTCACAGTAGGAGGTGGGGTGGTCTAATTTCACTGCATCGTCTTGAGTAATGAGCTATGTGTTACAGTTCAGTCATCGTACTTATTCTTCCTCTACTAACTGTTCATCACGTAGGAACGCAACTGGTGAATCACAAACCGCAGACGAATCGTTCATGTCTGGAAATACGTTTCTTATACAAATTGTAAGCCACTGGAACTGTACACGGCAGGTTGGGCCGTCTCTGTTGAAACTTTCAAAGTGAGATTGGACCTTCAAAGCACTAGGACTAGCAGGAATTAGCATGGGTCGTTGACTCAATATCTACGTTCCCGAAAACCGTGAATATATCTGAAAGTGTAATCTGAAAATAAGAAAGAAACTTTAGATGCAAGAAACCATTGTCCGAAAGTCATCATCTCGCCTTACGCAAATGGTGTGGATATCGATTCTGAGTGCATGCTGTTTACAGGAAGTCATCAGTGAGTGTCCACCGCAGGAGCTATTAGTACCAGTTAGGATTATTTTAGAATCTTTGCTGTAAGCGAACAGCGGTGGAACTTCATACTCAAGGTCGAATACTGATACGAAAAGAATGCAACTCAGGGAATTTCAAGTTTAGTGCTCCTGCAACAAGAAGATATGATAAGAAGAATTAAACATTGTACAACTTTATTTGTTCATCTTATCGAACGAACTCCATCTCCAATACTGAGCGCCTTATTCTAAAATGTTCTCAAAAAGTGTTAGTGTTTTCAAGTTTGGAGCTGGTTTGAGGAGTTTCGTTACAGTATCTAAGGTAGTTCCCTGTACTATAATTTGATACCATGTTGCATAGTCTTCCCCTAAAGTTGCGGTGTTAGGTGCAAGTGGTGGAATAGGACAACCGCTGTCACTTCTCTTAAAACAATCACCACTAATTTCTCATCTTTCACTGTATGATATCGTTCATGTGAAAGGTGTTGCTGCAGATCTCAGCCATATTGAAACCCAAGCTCATGTGACTTCACATCTCGGACCTGGAGAACTTGCAGATTGTTTGAATGGTGCACATATTGTCATCATTCCTGCTGGGATTCCTCGTAAACCTGGTAAGCTTGTCAACTAATGAACTTATTAGTTCATGTACCGCTCTAGAATAGGATCACTGTGATTTCCGACGTTCTTGGTCGCAACCTTTAGGCCTAGTTGGTCAGTGTGTTAACGCAGTCGTAAGAAAATACTTCATATAGTTTTTTCAGACTCCGATTATGCTTTATAAAGTCACTTTAGTCAACTGGAATCGCTAGTTGATGGTGCAATTAGGATAACTGATGTTATGAATATCCAGTAATGTGCAACTTTGAAATTGGGTAATATGATCACGTTACGTTTAAGGATGTGCACTAATTTTATATATCTTAAGTTTTAAGGCATATTAGGAAACGTTAGTTTCACAGTGTTTCTCATAACATTTCTAACTAGCTAATTTTGGAGTATATTCACTAGTTAATGATACAGATTGCGTCCACTAAGCTCTTCTACAAGGAGAGATCGACGTAGGATGGTTTCAAGTTACTACACTTCGCATTCCCCTACGTAGCTCAGACCAGCAGTCACAGACTTCATGAACTCATGTAATAAAGTGTAGTGGGGTGAACGGATTCAGTTTTGAGGCAGTTTTCTTTGATCTGTTTGTCTAACAAACATGACCCAGAAGTTTGAAGTCTTGGCAAGTTAAGTCTGTTGTCTTTTTTAATATTCAGTCAGGACGTAGGAGGACGATACGAATTTGGTAGGATGATTTGGAGAGGCTATGAATAGGGATTTGTTTTCAATCCTTGGGAAAAGTCGTAGAGCTGCAAGCTATGAAATGTGTAAGGAACTGGTGATTATTTTGAAGTGAGGGGTGGACTTTTGCGGTATTGAAAAAAAAGCAACCTGAGCATAATAGTAGATGTTCGTCATGAATGTCCATTGTCCAGGTTCGTATAGCTTTGCCAAATTTCACTGGGGAGATTCCTCTTATTGAGACTTATCTATGCGGAAATTTGTTAATCGCGCAAATGACCCATACCTATTAAAAGACACTGATTAGGTGTAGTCTTTGGAGTGCTAAGAGACAGAAATTGTTTGGGATGCACTTAACTACCAAGTAGGAGTTGTTTCTGCAGTAAGATCTTGTCTGATGATAGAACGAGAAGTAGATAAACGCGTTAACCACTTAGCTTGCGTTGGAAGTTGCACCAACCCTGGTGGGTGACCAGCTGACAAAATTTTGGAATATATTCTTAAGGTTCTAACAGCCTTAGCCAAATTAACATCCGGATGCTTAGTAGAAACCAAGTGGGCTATGCAACAACATCCTCCATCCTGACATATGACTTCAAAGGCCATATATAGCCGTAGAAACTAAAGGGTATGAAAAGGCCTGTCACTTGACCACTGTTGCCTTCAAAGCATCCTTTGTACCAGAAACGTCGGTAACTTGATCCTCTACCGTTTCAAGTAACTGGGCCGTATGTCACATATCTTCTTACCGTCCCCCTTGATGCATGATGCTGTTAGAGTTAATCGGGAAGAAAAATAAGGGTGGTCAAATCAGTGTGTAACACCAACCCATTAGGTTTTCGATTTTAAGAATATTTTAAGCTTGTTGATATCTGCGCAACAGTTAAAATGAATGTCTCAGAATCAGCCTCGTCGATGTTGACGCGACCGTGTCGTGTCTAAATCGTAATATCTCATATTTTGATTCCTTTTCTTCTCCTTCCTTTGGTTCTGACCACTCCTGGGGATGTTATTTTCAAAACATCTTCCGTTTTTCTACCTTTGACCTTGGTGTCCTGTTATGGGATGTAGTACTTTGGAACTGTCTCGCAATAGTTTGAACCCAGTTTGACGATGAATATGTGTGTGGGTACAAACTAAACATGCATGGTGAAGGCTTCAGTACTCAGTTAACAAAGTTCGAGAAGAGTAAGCATGATCTTTTTGAAACCTTTGGTGACTTACATATTAAGAAGGAAACAGCAATTATGCTGGTAGCGTAAAAATAGAATAAGAACAAAAAATGCCACATACGAAAAGAGGTGCTGATATTTAGGTAAGAAAAGTTAGTCGGTGTGGTTGTGAACCTTCATTTGGGATAGCTTAGTCATGCATTGCATATGCGAAAACACTGCCGACCTAAATGTACCGTGTTAGGACTAAGTTGGAAGAAAGCTAGGGGTGACCAGACCAGGAGGGGACACCAGTCCATCAAATCATTGACTGTTGCTCTGAGAGGTGTAGATTGCCTTGTGTTGATCCTTGGGATATTGGAATCAGTTGGCTTAAGGTTTGGTGACGTAAATGCGCAGCCGTTTTCACTCTTTAACTTCTGAAGTTTGAACACTTTCGTCTACTTTAGTATCACTTTTTTTACCCACTTGTTTTTGCATTCTTCTGTAATGTATGGCAACTTCAACGTATGCACTTCGATGCGAGATTGTTCTTCGATTTTGTCTGTTTGCTGATGTTTCGTTTCTTTTGTGTGCAATCAGGGGTATTTGTTCAGTTGGTTCTCTTCAGTTCCTAATACCGTTAAACTTGATGCGCACCACTAAGAGACTATTCATCAGGTAATTTTGCTAATTACTGTTTGAAAGTCAACTTTCCTACCAATCTTAGCTGTTATTTGGCTGTTAGTTATCCATTTCTTAAGCTTATCATTTTGTGGTTATGTATCACCAAATTGAAATATTCCAGTCACTCACTGAGTTTTGTGCTGGTCGAAGGTGGAATTTCATAAACAACTTAATTTCAAGTACTTTGCGTCATCATTTACTACTTAACTTCGAGATTCGACTTCATTTTCTAAAAATCAAGCAATCTTATACTCCTTTTCCCGACCGATAGCTGCTACCTTGACGTGGTGGTCGGGCTTGCATATCACAATGACCCAACGATCCTCGAGGTCCTACCATACCAGAAAGGTTCGTTGGATAGTAGTAAGGCGAAAAGCAGTTACCGTTGTGTAAATTGCCACACTATGATGGTGATCTAAGGGCGAAGTCGTACTGCTGCTAGCTGGATGGGGTGTGACAGCAGTAAGGTATTTCCCTTGGATGACCAGCAGTGCCATGCTAATCCTGCCTTCCCAGTGGAAGGGAGCATTAGAAAAGCTCAGCCCCAAAAATAACACACTCCACCATGCTCCACGATCTCCAGGGCCAGTGGTGTTGGTTCATTTGTCGTTTCCTTTCTACCATCCGGCCCCAAAAATACAAAAGTTCAAAATAATCATACTCAAAAAGCTGGCCTCAAGCAGATATCCGATGGGCTCTGTGGTCACACAAATCTCTTTCAGGTACCTTTAGAAGAAATAGCCTTTCACGGTGTGGGCAACCGGGAAGTGTCAACCGCCCTCACAACTCCATCAGCATTCAAGTTTCCTCAGACTGCTACCCACCTCCCCCATCACTACCTTCTAATCTTCCTTCACGTCTGTCAATTAATGATGCCACATCATCTTCAATTTCTCCTACCTCTGCAGCCTTCGACAACGATCTGAGTCCACAGAACAGCATCACCGGTCTCCTTAAACCACGCTCCAAATTACATATTGGAGCCTTCAATGTGTGCACCCTCCGTCAAATTGGTCAACAGGCTTCGTTAGCAAAGACTCTAGCAACTCGAGCCATGGATGTGTGCTGTGTTTGTGAGACACGCATACAGGACCCAAGTGCGGTTATTCACCTAACCTCTCCCGACCAATCTGGTGAGTCCGCAAAATTCACCCTTCGAGTTTCTAGAGATTCGATAGCTAGCTCTCGTGGTCTTGCAGGTGTAGGCATAGCATTAAGCACTAGGGCAGAAAACTCACTACTAGACTGGATCCCAGTTGATAATCGCCTCTGGGCTATCCGACTGAATGGCACAGTGAGAACTAAAAGGAACAGTGAAACCTTGCCATTGTCTCTTTGTAATCTCTGCTTACGCACCCGCTGACTGCAGTTTGCATGGAGTGAAGGACGAGTTCTACTATAAATTGTCTAGCCTCCTCTCGAAAGCTAAATGTTCGGACGAGTGGTTGTTGCAGGTGACCTCAACGCACAGGTGGATAGACTGAGTGAGATAGAGAGGCACTTAGGCGGCACTTTCGAAGTCCCGACTGAACGTACAGATAACGGTGATCGCCTATTTTTAGCTAGCATAGATTTCAGACATAAAGAAAGACACTGTCTGATGTGGCGTCCACCTATCTCAACTCAGCGATGGACACAGACAGACCACATGGCTATTAGTCATCGCTGGAGAGGATCGGTGGAAGACTGCCGCTCCTTCTGGAGTACGTGTTTGGGAAGCGATCACGCGTTGGTCCGAGCACGTATATGCCTGCATCTCAATGGACGTAAAAAAATGGCAACAAAACCACTACGAGTGCAGCTCAACAACGAAAACACCGAAGCTGTTTTCAGTGAGTTGGCTAGGCAGTTATCGGGACAAAAGACTCACTCATCCAGAAGAAGCTCGGTGCCATCTTCAGTCTGAAGAAGACCGTAGCTGACTTCAAAATAGTGGCTAAAAAGAGGAAGTGGATATCAGCAGCTGCTTCCGAACTAATGGATGCATGTGAACGCATCCCTGCAGGCTCTGAGTACAATGAAGAGCGAATGCAACTGAAAAGTAGATTAAGAAAAAGTCTACACAACAATCGTGAACAGTGGTGGGCAGTGAAGGCTAAAAAGACGGAAAAGGCGGCGACGATCGATAATAGTTGACAGTTATTTAGACTCATTAAAGAGACTACGGGGGTGGGAAAGGTCAACAACAGTTAGTGAAGCTATAGGGGAGATGGACGGATCTGCGATTCACTCTCAGGGGAGACGACTGGAACGATGGGTAGAACACTTCGAGGAGCAGTTTAACTGGCCTCCAGCCACCATTCCGTTGCCCACCATCCAGTCGGATCCTGAACGGAACGTCCAGATAACCCCCCCCCCCAGCAATAGGAGAAGTTGAGAAAGTTGTAGGGCGGCAGGACCAGATGAACTAACTCCAGAGGTATACAAGGATGGTGGTGGAGTGCTCTTAGTCAAGTTAACAGAGGTGTTAACCAGTATATGGGAATCAAATATGATCCCCTGAGACTGGTCTAAATCACTGATTATCCCAGTCTTCAAGAAAGGCGAGAAGTCCTCCTGTGATAACCTTTGAGGAATCAGCCTGACGAACATAGTGTCTAAGATTCTAGGTCCTATAATTCTTTGACGCCTGAGTGGAGCTCGGGAACAGCAAACCCGAGAAAACCAGGCAGATAGGCTTTAGACCCGGCCGGGGGTGTATCGACCAAATATTCACACTGCGCCAGGTCCTGGGGCATAGACACGGTTACTGACGCCCGACACTAGCTGTATTTCTCGGCCTGAAGGCGGCATTCGACTTCGTTGATCGAGAAGTCTTATGGCAATGTCTCTCACTGAAAGACGTTTCGAGTAAGTACATCACCTTACTGAAGGCTCTCTACTCGAACAGTTGAAGGCGTGTTAGAGCCTACGTTGAGATTTTCGGGGAGTTGTGCTCGTTGAGTGGTGTTGGTCAAGGCTCTCCACTGTCTCCATTCATATTCAGTTTTATCATAGATATTCTTATGCAGGTCTCCCTCTCGTCACCAAGTTACACAAACGTTGACCTAATCGGTGGAGAATTTTCGTTAGACCTAAAATATGCAGATGACATAGTCCTGTTAAGTGAAGATGCAGAGTCTTCTGAACACTTTGAGTGTGAATTTGAGAATGTTTAGGATACGGTCCTCACTACCCAAAAGCAAATTTTTGCTCCAGGATTGGTCTTCAACGGTGCCACAGCTAACCAACAGAGAGTGAAGTGGTTGGGTGTGTTGACCATTTAACTTAACTGGGAAGTGGGGTCAGCCCTGCACTGGTGGGTCAGTGGCCGATGAAATCTCTGCACGGATACAAAAGGCCCGACTGGCTTTCGCCAACCTACACCACCTATGTCGCAGCCGTTATATCCGATTATCTATTAAGCGTGGCGTGAACTGCACAGCAGTCAACTCTGTTCTACTGTACGGTTGTGAAACATGACCATTGAAGGTGGAAGACATGAGAAGACTTCAGGTGTTTGACCACCGTTGCCTTCGTAGTATAGGCCGTATTCCATGGTGCCACCACGTGAGCAATGTCGAAGTCAGGTATAGAGTATTAGGGAGAAGAGGTAAATCAGTTGATGAGGTTATCAACCTTTATCGACTGAGATTGTTGGGACACGTATTACGTATGCCTAGTCACCGATTACCTCGTCACACAATGTTGGCCGAAGTAGGCCAAGGCTGGAAAAAGGCTCGAGGTAGCCAGACTAAAACATGGCATCAATGTATGAAGTTTCTGACTGTTGGTTTGAGCCATGTGGGGTGATGCAGACTAGTCGGTTGGGGTCCGCGGGACAAAAGAAACCAGTAGTTGGAGACTCTAGGTGATTGTGGCTAAGAACCGATGTTAGTGGCGCAGATGTATATACACATCATCCTCATCTTAACTACGCTATACCGAACCTCACCACTTTCTCATTCTTCGTTTTTCTCTTTTCGTACTTTATATTTCTTTTGACTGCATTCTCTTATCTTCATCATTCACCTCACTACTTTTCTACTTGAAGTACTGATATGAGGTGTGGTAACTCGGACCGTTACGCAGTAATGTTGATATTGTGATGATGATGATGATACTCCTTTTCATTCATTTGGGTTAATTTAGAGAGTTTTTGTTCTGCTGATTACTAACTGAGTTCAGTTGAGTTTCTGATTCTTTAAATCTACTTTGGATATAATTATCACTTTGATCAATGATTTGTTTACATGTTCTCATTTTTCTCTTAAGGGATGACACGGGATGATCTGTTCAATACGAATGCATCTATTGTCGCTCAGCTTGTTGATGCTTGCGCCAAAAGTTGTCCAAAGGCAATGATATGCATAATCACAAATCCTGTCAACAGCACTGTACCAATTGCAGCAGAAATTTTAAAGCGTCATAATGTATATGATCCAAAGCGTCTGTTTGGGGTTACTACTCTTGATGTTATACGCTCAAATACTTTTATTGCTCAGGCGAAAGTAAATCCCAATTTAAAAAATATCTATGTATGCATATTTCCCCTCGCAGGACCTTGCTGTACGGAAAGTTTCATGTCCTGTCATCGGTGGTCATTCAGGCATTACCATTCTTCCGGTGATTTCCCAATGTACTCCTCACGTATCATTCCCACAGGTATACAGTACCTTTAACGTTCTATTTGTTTGGATTATCAGGAACATGTTTTTCCATAAAATAACTTTTTCTTAGCTTAAGGGGACTTACACATATACTTTCAAAGTTTTGTATCTGCCTTCTGTATTAAGAACCGTCCGAAGGCGTTATCCGAATCTGATAGTGTCGGTGTAGCAAATCGGTATGTTCATTCTGCGCTTTCTTACTTATTTTGCATCGTCATGAATCTCGCAGACGTGATTGAACAATGCACTGGTATTTTGATGAGTAATCGAAGGTCTACTGGGCATTAACGCACAAGGCTAGGTGAATCGAGGACGTTGATGAACCTTTTTATGTGTGCATTGAAACATATCGTTTTCTAAAAGTTTACTGGAAATCACCACATCGTAATAGAGTTTGACTGAAGGGAAAGAGACTTGTGGCATGCAATGAACTAGGTTGGTTCTTTAAAATCCCATGTAGCGGGACTGATGAAATATGTTGCAGAAAAATTCCACATAGCTAAAGATCACCCAGACCACCTAAACTAAGTAAATTATTCGGACTAAATTATCAAGAAAAAGGACGCCACCATCCAAATGCAAATCGTTTCTCCGGGATTGGTCTTCGCTGGTGCCTTTTTTAACAATAAGGAGCGAAATAGTTCAGGCGTAAACTAATTAACTTACTCTTGGTGTGGGATCAGTCCTGGGAAGTCTGTTACCAACAAAATTTCTGCATAAATGCAAATGGTTCGCTTGGATTTTGCCAACTTGCACCATTTGTTGTATCGTCATGATGTCCGTCTACCTGTTATGAGTCGAGTATACTACACTGCAGTTCGCTCTGTTCTATTGTATGACTGCGAAGCATGGCCATTAAAGAAAGGTAAAGGACGCGAAGAGGTTTCAATTGTTGGACCATGTTTGTCTTCGTAGCATAAGCTGTCATTGTATCATCACTTCACTAACTTAGTGAGGCACAGATTTTTAGGGAGAAGATAGTCAGCTAGTGAGTTTGTGAATCTGCATGGAGCAAAGTGGCTGCGACATGTGTTACGCATGCCTAATCGCCGTCTACCTTACAGTACAGTGTTAGCTGAAGTACGTTTAGGCTGTAAAAAGTTTCGGGGTGATCAGAGTAAAAAATGTCATCGGCGCATGAAGTCTTTGACTGTTGGTTTCACTTGTGTAGGGAAATGTTAACCTCCCGGTAGGAATCAATGTGGCGACAGAAATCAGTGGTCGGCAGTTCTATATGATACAACACAGATGTATCCACACATTATCTCCGTTTTAATCGTCATGCTGCTTTTTTGTATTCTGCCATTCCTGTTTGCTCTCTTGCCAATCTTCTGTCAATTTCAACTGCTTCCTTCATTGTTACTTTATCTTTCACCCTGGTGTATCCTTGCTTACTGTATTGATATCTGTGACAACGTTTACCGTTACACAGTAACGCCAGGTGCTGCGTTGATGTTGCTTGTTTGTCAACAAAAGTAAGTGATCCGCTTGATTGGAAGCCTGAATAACTAAGCAGAAGTGAGATTTTCTCCGAATCCTGTTCGATATGTCCTTAATTTTCCTAGTGTTTATTTTTATACGACGGATTTACAAGCACTGCCTTTAGATCCGGATTTTAGTCAAAGCGGTGTGAGGGCTAATAATGAGACAGATATGCGAGTTTAGTTTGATGACTCCTGCACATGAATGGAAGTATTACTACCGTTGTCAGGTGAAGATTCGATTTCTCTCCGGTTGACTGTTGTATTCAATATATGAATAGTAAAAAGAATACCCAGTGCATTTCGACCAATATATAGAAGCTTTTCGTAAACTTCGAGCGAATGAAAATTTGGCTATCATCGGTTTGATAAGGTTTCAAAGGTGATTGTTATGACTAAAGCGGAATACTTGGGTGAAATGAATAGCCTGCATAGTGGCCATAGTAAATTCCAGAAGTTATTGACTAATAATACTATACATAAAAAAAACAGAGGCTATTAACGGAATCGTTAAAAAGGTTGAAGCAGCCAACTTTCATTTCACAGAGCATGTAAAAACCAATCATGTTTTCTGATACAACAACCCCGAGGTTGTATGATCCATCGTAAGTTCATAAAAGATTAACTACTAGTTCTTGATATTTCCCGTGCCAAATGACCACGAAATGATTGGTACAATTCTTTCAACTATTGTCAAGAAAGCTCTAGAACAGCGTTATGAATACTTTTCAGCTTATTACCAGAATAAGGTGTCTAAATATGAACAGAAGTTTATGATATCTTTCTAAAGATGCCGTAAACCCTATTTACTAATGTGCATCTGATGGGAACAATGGATTTTGTGCGTAACAAACTGACAGCAAAATACAGAGATTAAAATGTATGTACCTGCCATAAAAGATCTCTTTAGATGCACAATGAATGTACATCTCTACGATGGAGAGTTCTTTAGGCAACCACACAGTGTTGCTATGGTATCACAACTGCAGCAAATCCTAGCAGATTTTTTAATTTGCGAAACTTGAGAATGGTCACTTGGAAAGCATAAGAAGTGAGTCCAAACTCTTGCTGTTACGTGAACAATATGTCCTTCATTCTGAATGTTACAACTGTCTAGTAATAATTTCCTGGATCATGTGATTTTCAGGTCCACCTCTAATGCCCACTTCATATGTGGCTAATTCCACATTTGATTATCATGTATCATAACAATTTCTCCCACACCATCTATGATCCTCAACCTCCTACTGCAGAAGGTAAATTGTGATCCTCGTTGTCCTTACACATTTGCAGTCTGAATCGTACATATATACAACAGAATTACCCGTCAACAATGCACCACATTTCGGGAAATTCTGTAACTGATTCCATTCATAGAAAATGGAATAATGCATAGTAACTAACTTCCCTCAATATGCAGTTATTTGAAACTATAAGTAAGGCATCAGTAAAAGGCTCTTAAGCCGAGCTATTAGATAATGCTATTGAACTATTCTTCAGCACAGTGCCTTTTGAAATAAATGAATGATACAGTCGACTGTACTTTTCTGATATTCTTATTTCCCTTCCTTCAGTCCATGATAAATTACGAAAACTACCGCGCCGTGATAATGATATTACATGAACTTAATGGCATCCATGAAGCAATTACTTTTGTTATTGGGACATTTAGTAAAGGTATTGTAGTTCCCTTGGATGCCCTATTGAGAAGAAAAATAGAAGGACAAAAATCAAGAGTATTTATCAACCAGCGTCAGCCGGCCAACACACTCATTTGAGTTTTTTGCGTTTCCAATATAAACGGAATTTAATGGAATGAACAACTCACTGGGTTAGTTTTCTGCCCAGATGTCCTGTACATGGAGAGCTCAGTATTATTCATGATGTGCTGAGTGGTAATGGATATCCAGCAAACTTCCTAGCTAAGCATATTGATTTATTTCAGACAACAGGCAATACCCTAGGTTTCCAAGAAATCGTTATTCCCCAAACTGCAGTTTCGGGCTGGCATAACGAAATTGTGACAGCACCTAAAGAGTGCTATGGAAAGATCGTTCAGTGCAGGAAAGTTGTGCTGGTTCGAATCCGGCCGCGGTCCAGATTTTCATCTCACCTTCAATCACCACCCAGTACATGTTCTACAATCAACTGGTGCTGACTTCAAGGATTAAAGCTGATTGTTTGATTTCACCTCTTAGATGTGTGTTTACCAGTTCAACTGCACCCATAAAACCAGTTGCGCTGAACGTCTGATTAGGCAAATTCTTCGGCGAATTTCTGAAAATTATTCATCTTGACTAAGCAGAGGGCAGGTAAAGTCAAAATACGTCGCTTCATATGCCTGGTTGATAGTGAATATCGAATTGATGTTAATAATTACTTCAGAGTTACTTGTCACACTCCCTATCTCACTCGAGCTTCGCAAGCCCGTCTTTTTCATACAGCATTATTCGTCAGTATCCCCCGTATTAGCTGAGGGTATTTTCTGAAATTCTTTGCCTCCTTTGCACTAGCCATCCTCATAATTCATCTGTGTATAAATGGTCCTTTCATTCTTACCTTAGTTCATTACTGTTAATAATGTCGCTGCTGTTATTAATATATGTTTTTAGCTACTTTGTTTTTCCCTCTTTCTTTAACTTACGTACTAGTCGTCGACAACTGACTACTTGACACAATTCTGTATCCTCTTAGGTAAACTATCAGTTATCCTGCAACTTTCAGAAATGCACGGTGTAATTATTCTTTACCTTAACTACTCTCTTAGGATTGGCTCATTGGTTTAAGCAGTTGACTTTCAAACAGTGGGTCACCATTTTGAACACCACTTCACCTACCGAGGTTTGGGTAGTTAGGTAGAATTATTAGCCCTCACACACTAAGTGTGGCCCATTGTCTACTACACAAATGCACACAAGGTAGCTGAGAGCCTTTCAATTGGATTCGATCAACTGTCGTGATTTTCTTGATTTGTAACCACTCCTCTTCAATACTCTGAAATTCATAATCTTTTATTATCTAACTTTTTTCCATCATACTGACATGTTATTTTGTGTTTAAGAAATGCTATATAATATGGAGTCGTTAATAAAGGAATAACTGAAAAGAAAAAATCGTCTTTCAAGTGTTTGTTTTTTACAGTGTAGCCGACAGATTTTGAAAATGATCTTACAAATAAATGCAATAAACTGTATCTCTTGTTAACTTTTCTGTCTCGTTCAAAGGATCAACGGGAGAAAATTACAAAACGCATTCAGGAAGCGGGCACGGAAGTTGTTGAGGCGAAAGCTGGAGCAGTAAGCATTTTACATTCTACATGCATTAAACTAACATTCCTCAAACTCAATTATTCTCTTATTTTACTATTTACAATCTGGTATAAAGTGTTTCTTCAGTATGCTTGTATTTAATAGAAACATTGTTTATTCTTAGCTTTTTTGCTATTCTTTGTTACATAACAGTGACAGGTGCATAAGCATTGGGTAATAAACTAGCAGATCACCTAGTTAATGTTCTTGTAACATGTTAATGTGGACCTGTTAGATAAATGTGGTTCATGGTTATATTTTACTTCATTTTGTTATCCACAATTCTTTCGATGTGTTTATTTCATAAGTGTATGCGAGAAAAAAGATGTAGTAAAGCACGAAACAACTTCAAGTGACAGCACTGAATAAATGAATACACGTTCAAAACCTACAAAATTGCTGTTGTTATTTTCTGGGTTTGTCAAGGTCGTTGTGTTTGCCATGCTTATGGTAGACGTGATATTTTGTAACATTTCTATGTATTCAGTAGCCAGTTTTTGAAATCGAACCGCAATATTTCTACAGTATACACTGCTATGCATAATTCGCTAGGATCAGTGATTCGGCTATAAGTTGACATTTAAGTATGTTCTTGTTTGTTTACTGTAAAATAAGATTTATAGCAGAAGCACCAGAGTGGATGTATATTTATGTCTTTTTGGAATATAGTTATAAGTAATTTTACGCTTATGAGAAGGTTGCCTTTTTAACACTATAAAAAGTCAAGACGGTTAACCACAGTTTGAATCATTTTCTGAACTGTAAATCAATCAAAAAACTTGTAGCTGGAGCGCATATCATAGAGTTTAAGTAGTTTAAGTAACAAGTTTGTTCGGATGTACAGTTTTTGTAATACCCACCATGCTTATTCAACCATGGAGAATGAGATAAGACTTACATCATTTCATGCTAAGCACATATTCCATTAAACCAAAAAGGTGATTGTGCTTGGCTTCATGTACTGGAATTTATGTTCTGGAGCGAGAAATATTTCTTTCTAGTTTACCTCTTTCTCAATCATTCTGAGTGTGCTGCTACCGACAGATAACCGGGATTTGTTTCACTCATAATTTTATGAATTGATCCTTTTTAAGTCAGTAGTATAATTTTTTCTAGATGTTTTAATGAATTAGCATATACGACCAATTCACTGGTTTAAAGTTTCCGAAGGCAAGATTTCATGTACCAACTCACGTTGAACCTGTGTTATTATTCACCGACAGGTTATGTTTTGTTTTCGAAATAATCATATTACATTCATCTGATAGTAGTAGTAGTCTGTTAATGAGATGTTGATTGTATTTCAAACTAACAACTGTTTACTTGTGAGATATAATTCTGATTTATTTTTAATTTTTGTACAGGGATCTGCGACTTTATCAATGGCCTACGCTGGAGTAAGATTTGCTACCTCACTCTTGGAGGCTATGAGCGGTCGGGCAGGTGTAGTAGAATGTTCTTTCGTGCAGTCAGATGTTACAGAATGTGAATTCTTTTCAACTCCTCTTGCACTTGGCGTAAGTTGATCATCATGTATTTAGAAATAATATGTATGATGATACAACTCAACATTGTACGTCGATTTGTACTGTGCTATAAGCCATATTTATTATGTTGAAGGCTTATGATACTACCCAGGTTTTCTAGCTGATGTAACTAGAGTTGGGATTAGCTGGTGGTAAAGTCGTTTTGTAAAACTGCACGCAAATCGCTGATGTTTTATTGGTTTTCCGTTTTGTAATTCTGTTATTGTTTAGGCAAAGTTGTTTATTCTAGGGAGATTTAATGTGCAGATTTTAAGTGTGGTTATCAATTCATTCTCATTTTCTAAAATACGCCTTTTCTTGATCTACTGTGGAAGCTCATTCGAGTTGCTGCGTTACAGAAGGCTTACAAATAGAATTGAGATGCCTAATACTTCAGTTTGTATTTTTTTATTTCGCATGATAAAAGTTCTGTATGTTGTACAGAAAAGTTACATACACCTGTTGTTAACTGATCCCATCAAATCGTTGTATCTTCATGAGAATTTTGGTCGTGAAATTTTTATGGCTAAAAAGTTTAGAAAATCAATTTGTATAGTACTACATTATATATATATAAGGGATTGTATACTTACTGCTTTCAGTTGATCAATACTTGGACTGATGTTTTATTAGGCTATTAAATGAATAGAAGGTTTAACATGTACTTTCATAATATTACCTCGTCTAAAGAGATTTCCTTTTACGGAACGAATTTTAATAAACTAGACATCCACTTCACATATTTAGCACTAGAACTGTGAAACCTATCCTGAAGTTTGACTAGAACTTTTATGATGATTTTGCTACAAGGTGAATTACGCACATGAGTATCTCAGATTTCATGTCACTCAATAATCACCTAAAAATCTGTCTACTATACTGTAAAGCAAACTCTGTGAGGATGAATGATGCTAATTTAGCTGTTTAAAATGAACAGTCAAAAATGGTGAGGTCTCTGGGGGGGGGGGTTACACTACAGCAGAAGAAGCTTTTCAAATGACTTCTTCCTACTTTGCTTGCAGCACATTGCAGTCAATTATGGTCATATTAAGATGGAAAAGTTTGTGAAATATACAAGTATTTCCTGTTTACGTTCTACACAAGTGAAGTATTTAAAAAAAATAACGTGTTGCTGATATTCTCCGTCATTACTTCTTTTAGGCTGAAGGTGTTGAGAAGAATATGGGCATTGGCAAATTGAATGAATATGAAATTGAATTACTGAAAAAGCTTATTCCGGAGTTGAAAGCAAATATCGAGAAAGGCAAAGAATTCGCAGCTAAATTTACACCCAGTTAAACAAAGGAGCATCATCTAGATCTTTATTTCGCTACCTGGTCTACTGCATATTCTTTATGCATACATTTCACTAATCGTGATCGTGTTATTAATATTTTTCTTTCGATATCAAATGTGAATGATCGGGTAGATAATTAGTTCTTCGCGTTGTTACCATCTACGCTTTTTTTCCAAACTAGGTGTCAGTTGATTGTTTAAATAACATAAAAGTCTTCTTATATGTTCCCTTTTTTCTGTTTTTTTTCCCAATGACCGTTGTCTCCCCCTCTTTCTCCATTTACGCCTTATGCAGTTTTTCAAAGTAGCAGTGTTGCATTGTTTCAGTTGTTTCTGTGTTCATTACAAATGATATCTAGTTGAAATAAATGTGTCAATTTGTAGTGAAAAACTGTCTGGTGAAAATTGAATAATCCAGTCTTCCACCTTTTTTATCGTGAAATTATTGTTGTCGGGCCGATAGGTCGAAATCATGTGGAATCTTGCACAGTATTGCATTTGGTCACTCTGGTACTAAATTATCATAAAGTTGCATGACTATTCTTTTAGATAATGTTTGTATAGTTGATTAACACTTTCTGGTCTTTAATATGAATCACAGTGATCAATAAGGAGATGATAGCTCACTGCATGGATCTGAGTGCCACAGGAAACTTTACGGTTAGTGCTCACGAATTGTTCGTATATCCTTGTTATGTGGCTGTTAACGGATTAGTATCTTACTTGATGACCCAACTAAACTAATTAAGGCCTAATGAATGTGTTTTTGGTCATGATTAGAGTCGATTGACGGCTAGTTGCTGCTGGCAGTCTTGTACTATGAATAGGATTTAATTCTGTATTTCGATGACCAGTGCACAGTAAACTTTCATGACTGCATTTCGTGTAGAATGAATACACCATGTTGGGAAAAACAACACTGCATTAGGAATGAGTGCAAATTGGGACATGTTAATCATTGTGCACCTAACTAAGTGGGATGTATGCTCTGAAATCACTTAGGGTTAAGTATCAATCTGAATATAATCTTGTTTCTGTCCACTTTGAAAATGAATGTCTGCGAAAACTATTTTGGAACTCGATGTAAAAGCTAGACCTGTAATTCAAATGTGAAGCATATTTTGTAAATATGTACTTCAGGAGTATCCGGTAAAATCAAAGTCAAGGCGATTTATTTAGCTCGTTTATATATCAGTCACTAGGCTACATTGCATGACTACTGGCCAGAAGAAACAAGCCGTTTTTATCCCGTTAACAATGAACCAGTAAAGTTTGCAGTAGTCTTGAAGCTATAAAAGAAAAAAATTTTATTTGTAATCTAAGTGTTCCCAGCTAAATTTTAGTTAAGACAATCGAACTGAAGGTAGATTATTGGTTATTGAGTCAATCTATTTGATATTAAAATCAGTGACGCTGTTTGATTTACAGAATGATATTTCCTATTTATATCAGTATGATGTGATGAACTAATCTGATGTAGAATGTTTACTCCTGTTCTTCATTTCAATCGTCTTGAGTTGTTTTGTGGTCGATTTCGGTCTGATGTTTGGAACCATCGAACTTCAAACATTCAATGAACCAATTGTCGAATATTTCCATCAGTTTTGTAATAAAGAAGTTATAGACCAACGTATATTTCTTCACAACGCATATCAACAGTCACGGGATATAGGGAGTAAGTGATGCAGTTACACCATATTAGTGGTTGTTGATCAAGGAGATGCGTTGTCTGTTGGCACTGTCAGAAGTTTTTTAAGTTGGTTTCCATCATGGACTAACATCAATTGCAGGAACATTGGAAATCTGGGAGCACTGGACAGCTGTTTCGTCCTAGTATGAGGATCAGCAGTGCACACCCACGACCCCGCCGGGGATCGAACCCGTGACCTTCAGGTTCTGTGGCTAGTACCTTACCTTTGACCCACTGGGCCGAAATCCAATGGTCTGTATTCCCAGCAAACCCCTAAATTCAACTGTCAGAAGCGTTTGATGATGCTGTGAGCGCACTTGTAGAGGACACTATACTAACCTTGTGGTGGACTAAGCCTAACGGGAATAGTTCAAATCAGACTAACCAAGGTGTCACAATGAAAAAATCAAATAAAATGAATAAACATAAAACGTGTTACGGTTATTAATTATCGAAGTTATTACAGCTATCGGTTACTTGAATGTATGTTTTAATCCGAATTCCAAAATTTTCAATGATGGTTGTAGAACGACTTGGCGAACAGTGCAAATATTGGTTATTCACTAGTAGGTGGTTAAATTGTTCGTTAACGTTCATTGGAACGAGGCTGGGTACCACCTATAAGTTCCCAAACAAACGACCAATTAGTAAAAACTCAACAGAACAACGGGTTGAGTCAGAACAGTGTCGTAACAAGCACGTATATTTCTCTCTTTAACCGCATCGAAAAAGTTCAAATTATGCTGAATGTCCTACTAGAAAGGAATGTTAGTTTAATTTCCAAAAATGTGATTACATTTTACACAAGCTTGACAGTTACATGTGACAAACCTGGTTTAGGAGTCAGTTTGTCGTAAATAGCACACAATCAGGTGTTCGACAGACAGCACTATGTTGGAATCAATCAACTACAAGCTTTGATCTAACTATACTTACTGAGAAAGTTTGGGCATTGGAGAAATAATGTTCATTATTTTTGGTATTTCTGTCTCCTAATAATTAAAAAGGATTGTTTTGTAATGAACCATCCGCCTCCTTGAATCTTGGCCTACTAAAACTTTTCCACCAAATTACTTCCTTTCAACTTTTTTGAATCATTTAAATCGTATTATGTACTAGCGTATTTTTAAAATGCTTTTCAACCACACGTTTTACACAGGTGAGCGACAAAATAAAAAAAAGATTGCAATGGACTTTTGAATGCATAATAGTACATCATGACTATTCCTAAGAAAGTTGGTTTTAATTGCAGATTTTCGTACTGGCCAAAATGAACTAGGCAACACTAAAGTTACGCACACTTTCCTAGTCATTCCCTCCTTCAAACCAGACGATAATCTATCAACAGCTTATCGTTACATTTTATTATTCCCTTATAATACTGTTATAAGTATCACTAGCGAAGTGCGATGGTTATTTTGTCGGAAAATATCGTATAGGGAGTAGATCTGCCCCACTAGTTGATACTGATAATTTCACACTATTATCTGGAATAAAGTGATTGTTATTATCAAACTGATGGTTCGCTATTTAGAGGTTATAACTTTATCATAGTTGTTGCTTTTCGGAACTCATTTCAAAGTATATCTGGAGACTTGTAGGAAACGGGTTGTGTTGCTATTACGTAACATCTAACCAACCCTACTTAACTCGATATGCTCTAGAGCGTGCTGAATCGGTACTTTCCCTAACGTATAGTGTCTGTTATTCAGGATATATTCAAAAGAGCAATATATTTAAAACGAGTGAATGTGATAACAATTATCAGAGGAAATGTTTATCTAATTTATCTGGCTAATATGGCTGAGCTAGGGACTTCGAGGACGTTCTTGTTAACCAGTACAGAGGGAGTGCAAAATAGGCTCGAAGCCTGCTGGATAAAACAAAACTTAAAACACCAGCATCCGTAGGCGAGCTAGTTATTTAGTCAATTCTACTTATTTTGACCCTAGTTGCATTTTCATACCAGGAAGGCGCACTACAGACTCAAGGGTACTCCGTCCACTTTGAAGATTTTGAGACCGTTTCACTCAATACTTCAACCACTGCAGTTATCATTGCGCTTTACGGTTAAATATTTTGTGACTATAAATGGATTCATATAATCTATCTCTTCACGTGATCGCAGATGTCAGTGACAGTGAATTAGCCCATGAACCACAGATTGCATTTGAAGCCTTAGTTTGAGAAGATGTAATGAAGAGCCGTAACCTGTGGGGTCAACCAGTCGGAAGGGGAGCGGATGCCAACTGAAGACCTTGAGTGATAATCGCGCTATATCGTGAATTGACAGAATTTGGAAACTGTGAACCACTGAACTCCAACCCAGTGGCTGAATGGGTTCACCGTGAAACCTGAAGTTCGATCCGTAGCCGGTTGGCGGGTGTTTACTGCTGAGTAGGCCAACACTAGGATGAAACAGCTGTTCAATGCTCCCGGGTTTTCACTGGTTCTCCAACTAATGTCAGTCCGTGATGAATACCATCTTCATACAACTCATCCATTGAACAGTTACGGGTTCCTATCTCACACATTTAAAGTCAGATATCAGCAAAGAATTTCCATTTTCGTAACTTCTCATCAGGTTCTACAGTTATTAAATCAAATCCATTAACATAACAATAATCCTGAGTGATGATTGAAGATGATATTGAAATCCAGACCGCAGCAGGAATGGAACCAGCCAGCTCCAGGTTTCTGATCCAGTATTCTACCAACTGAGTTCCGAGAAGTCCTGACTAGGTGTTGTAGTGTAATTAAGATCTGGTCAGCGAGTATGTGGAAGCCATAAATCATCTGGTACAGCACTGAGCCACCAACCCGGGAGTATCTGGTTCGAACCCCTATTATTATTATTATTATTATTATTAGTCCCTTGGGTTCCTAGTGGAACATAGGGCTTCAGTAGCACGCCTCCAGTGACCTCTGTTCTCTGAGATCTTTTGAACCTGGTCCCACGACAGCCCAGAAGCTCTCATTTCCTGCTCGCACGACCTCCTCCATGTCACCCTTGGACGTCCAACTCGTCGCTTCCCATGGGGATTCCACTCGAGGGCCTGACGCGTGATGTCCTCAGTCGGCCTTCTCAGTGCATAGCCAATCCATCTCCACTTCTTCCTGCATATTTGTTGCGTGATAGGTTCTTGGTTCGAACCCCTAGGTGGTCCAAATTATTCAACAGACAGTATCACTAATACATATCTGCTAAATCATGGTTATTTCAGATAGTTGAACTAATCAATATAGTCAAATTTGGAGAGGGTGCATTTTAGAATGCATGTGAATTTATAATTAACACTAAACTGTTTAAGTT